AAAGTTCACCTGCTTTCGAAGCTTCTCAACCTCTTCGAGGATGGACGAGGCATCAAGATCGGGGCCCTCTTCGATCCCGACAAGGTATTTGCCGAAGATGCCATTCTCCCGGTAGGATGCTCGCACATCAAAAGTCTTCATATCTTGGGCATCCTATATTTGCCCTCAGAATATGATGCGCCTGGCGGAGAGTCATCTACATCAATCACCCCGAGTGGCTCTATCGGGGCCTTCTTCTTCCTTTGAGGAACCTCAGGGCTAGGTTCTCTGAGTTCATCGGCCAAGTGCCCTTCAAGACGGGGCGCTTTCTTGCTACTGGTCGGTTCGAGAACCTCGCTCGATTTCCCTCCGAGAACTTCCTCAGCTTGAGATTGAACCATTTTAGTGGCCTCCAGCTCAGTAGCCTTTGAAGGATCGGTGCCTCCTCCTCTCCGAGTTATTAACGGGTGATCATCTTTGTCCTTAGCCTCATCTCTCTCTTCGTCCTCAGCACGAGGACGTGCAACAGTTTCTAGAGTTAAGGCCACCGTATCGGCCCTAGGTTTTCGAATCTTGGCCTTTTTTGGCTTCGGGGACTCCGCGGGCGACCCTTTCCTTCTTTTCTTGTCCTTGGTAGGTTTTTGGGTCTCTCCTTCGCCAGCTGGGGGCTGCCTCATCAAAACAACATCTCTAAGGCCTGCATAAGCGCAAAATTAAGTGTATTGCTGAGGAGTATTTCACTAAGGGATTTGAATATGCAAATAATAAGGACTCACCGTGGTTTTTGGCCTCCCATCGGCCTTTGGCCAAATCGCGCCAAACACTCTCGGCGTACATGAAAGTGGAAGCTAGTTGCCGAACCCAACCTGGGAGGTCCGCAACCGCACCTAGGTACCATTCAACGGTTGCATTATCAAAGGGGAGTTAGTTCAAATAAAAGGGAAAATGTCTAAGTAATGAAACATGCTCGATAGGTCTGTACTTACGCTTCATATTCCATTCCTCAGGGAATGGCATCTTTTCAGCAGGAATAAGATCGGAGGTCCTAACTCAAACAAAGCGGCCCATCCACCCTCGGTCTTTATCCTCATCAATGCTAGCGAAGAAAGACTTCGGAGATCGACGTCGCAATTTTATCAGACCACCTCAATAGAGACGAGGGCTGAATAACCTGATTAGATGGTCGAGGGTAAAAGTCATCCCCTCGACTTTGCTTGAAAAATACCTAATTAGGTGAACAATCCTCCAGAAGGAGGGATAAATTTGGTCGAGCGTCACTTGGTATTGCCGACATAAATCGAGGATCACTGGGTCTGGAAAGGGCAAAGAAGGATCTACGGGACCTAAGGTAAATGGGTATGTGTATACGCTTAGGAACCCCGCTTTGTGAGTGGTAATATCCTCATTGGGTGAAAGGATCTCCACGTGCACTTCATCCCCCCTACGGCAATCTGCCTTCACTTGTTTAAGTTCGGTTATTAAGCTAATATACCGAGACATGGGTTCACATCATCCTGCAATCGAAGCAGGCTTGTCGACCTTGAAATCAGAAGACGTATCAGAAAGCCCGGGGTGCACTCCTCAATACTGGAGGGTACCACCATTTTATTCTTCGATGGACGTGAAGACAAAGAGGCCTTCTCTTTTTGTGGAACTGTCTTAGAAGTTTTTGCCCTTTTTTGGTGAAAATTCAGAAGAAGGAGAAGGAGCTGGTTAAGAAATAGGCACAAGGAAGGAATAAGTGCAGAGAGGATTTGATGATATTGTAAAAGTAAAAGTTTGAAGAGTGAAGGATTGAAGTATTTATAGAGGCTGTCTAAGCGTGTTGGAGAAGCTAAACGGACGATCAATAACCGTCTTTCATTAAAGGTTTTTCGAAAACTGTGTAGGCATAACTTTTGCACGACTTTTTAGTCACACGGACCGCCGACCTCACTAGACTGACGTCATGATTGGGACATCGAAGGAGCGAGAATCAGATTGTTTATTATCTTTTCTTTATAAGAAATGCGGGGACTATCTGTATACGGTCTAAATCAAGGAAGCCCAAATTCGAAGTCTTAAATTGGGCTATAAATTCGAGTTTGGGCGACTCGATGTGGGGGTCATGTCCGACTATGAAGCACACACCTCGAGGGAGCAAATCGAAAGCCTGGCACGACCTACATCGAGGGCAATACAACTTCGATGATACTCAAAAAAGAGCGAAAATTTCTCAAGGACACGTGGATCAAGGCATGAATTAAAGGATAAGATTTGTACGAGTCGATATAGGTCCGTACCAGGTTGTTATACATCTGTACCAATAGAATTCTTTACTACAATTAGGAATGTACTATATTGGGGTTTTCTCCTCCTATATAAAGGGGACCCATCATTTGTAAAAGACACATTATTCACTGCATTAGAACATTCTACTATGTTTTTCTCGTGCTCCACTATTGTTCTTCAGCTTTATTGTTTTATTTTATTGTTCTTACTTTATTTGCTCTTAATTCACCTCGAGGCCCCCGAGATAGTAGAGCTCGAGGTCCCCGAGATAGTAGAGCTCGAGGTCCCCGTTGCTCTAACAACACTGATTTGGTTAATCAATTCTTCTTATTTAAACCTAATATTACATGTATATTCACTAGTATTGGAATAAATCACATATCTTTAAAATCACAAATCACCTTTAATTGTTACTCACATTTTTCGAGGTAAACAACATATAACATAAAACTATACATTAAGTTGAAAAAAGAGCTCCTGAGCTTTGTTCGTCGAGTAGTAAGAGCTCAATGTGTGATATGTGATGTGTGAGTTAGGCGCAAATATGAGTTCGGAAGCTGCCACAAACAATAAGGGTGGATTGGTGAGCCTATTATTCACAGAATTTTGAATCGTGCACAAAAATGTCACTTGCTCATAGTATATCTCTACTATATCAGTAAAAATAGCACGGACTAGCCAGTTTTCGGACTGATCATTCAAAAATAGCCAGTGTTTACAAATTCATTGAAAAAATACCACTATTTTGCTGCAACATGGACTAGTCCAGCATAATATACTGGAGATCGGTGCACCTGTGTATGAACTTCCAGCATAATAATGCAGAAAGTTCCAGCATAATATACTGGATATTTGAGCACCTGTGTATGAACTTTCAGCATATTATGCTGGACCGGTATATTATATTGGAACTCCAGTATATTATGCTGGAGTTCCAGTATACTTATGCTGGAACTCCATTATAATATGCTGGAGTTCCAGTATACTTATGCTGGAACTCTAGTATATTATGCTGGAGTATTTTCCGAATTTTGAACAGTGTTTTCGTTCAGATTTATCTTTACATGAAAAGTGGCTAAATTTCGAATACTTTTAAAATTGTGGCTATTTTTGAATGACCACTTGTAAATCTGGCTATTTTTGAATTTCTCCCACTATATCACCCTAACCTGCAAAGCTTGAAAAAGCTAATAAATTTGGCCGGCTATTTGTGTTAAAATCCAAATGATCTACTTGGTTAACAATGAAGCCCCATATTCTCGAGAAAGACATCAACCGGAAGATTAGAAGTTGAACCAAAATATTGACTCATAAATTCATAATACAAAACGATCAAATGATCATATACCAAGACAAAATGATGTTGACGTCGATGACCAAAAAATAAAAAAGTCAAGAAAATAAGAAGAGAAAGGCAAATTTTGTATTCTAAAGTGGAAAGGGGTCAACTTTGGAACTCATTTTATCTTTTTATTTTTTCAAAAACATTATATGTATATAGCTTTCTCGACATCTTTGTGACTCAGTTTATAGGGTTACATGATTTTATTTGAAGATGTTCTTTAATTGCTTCTAGATTAAAGAACAATTGATACAATCATGAAAAAAATTTATCTCCAAAATAAATATAAAAAGAATTAATTAATTGGGAAATAAAGCGTATATAGCTCGAAAGAAATCAAAGAGGACCCCTTAATATGTCATGAATAACCCTATATACCATATTCTTTTATCGTAATAAATAGCAAATTTAGTAATTAAGTATGTCATATATTCTTTCTTTTGTCTTCTTTACTATCTAAAGTCTATTAAGTTTTTCGGAAAAAAAAAAACCAGAAATAGTCATATTTATAACTGGTAATTGAAAATTAGCCATAATTTAAAAAATAAATGAAATTTAGTCACTTTTTAGTCATATGGGCTTTCAGCATAATATGCTGAAATTTTATAATGTGCTAGAGTTCCTTCACAATATGCTGGAAGTTTATACACATGAGTTCCATAATCTCGCATATTATGCTAGAACTTTCCGTGTGTTGGAGTTCCAACATAATATGCTGGAAGCTTATACGTAGGAGTGTTTCGGTAATACAGTGGCTATTTTTCAATGACTTCACAAACATTAGTTATTTCTCAATTACCAGTCCGAAAACTAGCTAGTCGGTGCTATTTCCACCCTTTTTCGCCACCCAGTATCCGATAATCTTTTCGGGCCCATTTAATTAGAACTCGTGCTGCACAAGACTCATTAAAAGAAGAAGCGTTCTTTACCAGAATTTTTTCATATCAGGTCTCGAATCCGAGACTTTTAATTAAACAACAACAACAACCCAGTATAATTCTACTAGCGGGGTCTGGGGAGGGTAGTGTGTACACAGACCATACCCCTACCCTGGGATAGAGAGACTGTTTCCAAATAGACTCCCGGCATATTTCCCTCCAAGAATACCCCAACTTGCTCTTGGAATGACTCGAACTCACAACTTCTTGGTTAGAATTGGAGGTTGCTTACCATCATAGCAACCCCTCTTGTCCAAGAGACTTTTAATTAAAGGTAGAAAAATTCTATCCATCACAACTATGGTACTATCTAAATACTTTATCATCAAAGGAGAGAATAAAGTGAGTAAGCAAACAAACTAAGTTACGCAATTCTTGAATACCAGCTAATTAGCCCATTGTATTACTCCTATAAAAGTAAGAGAATCTCCTCCAAGGAGCTCAAATTCTGTCTATTTGCATAATTAAATATTCCACAAACCCCACATAGTCATATAAATATAGAAACATATACAGTTATTAGCTCGTAAAAAATCAGAAGAAGAACAAAAGAAAGAGAAAAAAATAAAATAAAGAAAGAAACAACAATAAGAAGAATGGGAAAAGCAAGATTAGTAGGAATTGGAATGGATTATTCAGCAACAAGCAAAGCAGCATTAAAATGGGCAATTGATAATCTTATAGAAGAAGGTGATCAGATTATCATTATTCATGTTGCTTCTCCTAAAGCTGATCCTACTAATAAGCAACTCTTTGAAGACACTGGTTCCCGTATGTTAATTACTTCCTTAATTTGTTATTAATTATTCTTTACAGTATTTAACTTATATGCGTTGATAGTGTAAATATTTCTCTTACTGTTAGTATCTTTTACTAATAGCTTATAGTAAGTTATATGGCATAATTGGTAAAGTTGCTGCCATGTAACACGAGATTACGGGTTCGAACCGTTGAAATAGTCTTTGCATATAGTGGGAGTTTAGTGCACCGGGTCTCCTTTTATACTAAGTTATATACTTCATTTTGAAGTCATTAAATTAGAAAAGGAGGTGTGACTTGTGAGAGATTGGTGTTGGTGGTTTTGAGGAGCAGTAGGGGTAGGCCAAAGGAAAAGGTGATTAGGTAACATGACAATACTTCAGCTTATCGAATCTTATCGAAGATATGACCCTTTTTAGGATGGTGCGTAGGTCGAGAGTTAATACTTAGTCGAGCGCTTTTCTTTTCAGTACTATTAGTATTAGTGCAGTCTTGTATTTTCTTATTCATCGATTTTTATTATTACTTGTTGTTTTTTTCATTTTAGTTTTTTGCTATCTCGTTGTTGTTACTCTTTGTTGCTAGTGGTGCTTTTTTATTTTATTTTTTATTATCTTTTCTTGAATCAAAAGTCTATCGGAGACAACGTTTTACCTTCTGAAAGTAGGGTAAGATATGCGTACACATTATCTCCCTAAACCCTATTTATGAAATTACACTGAGCTTATTATTATCGTAAATTAGAAAACTTATTTTTGTTGATCATCTTAAATGGATACATTGTCTAATTAAAAGAATTTATGCATTGTTGTACAGAAATTAAACTCTTTTTTAAACTGTCATGTTTAGATAATTTATAATTTTATTGATGTATTTATTCATCTTTTCCACAGCTTTGATACCTTTAGACGAATTTAGAGAGATTAACGTGTCTAAGCATTATGGACTAAACCCTGATAAAGAGGTTCTTAATATGCTTGACACTGTTTCCAAGGTTAAGAAGGTATACTTTTAAAATCATTCTCTTCTTCTTTTATTACTAATAATAATTTTTTCCTCTAATAAATTTATTATTCTGGAAAGGTTTTTCTAATTATTTAGTAAATAATTTTCTTTTTTTAAAAAATAAATAAATAAATAGGTGACAGTGGTGGCAAAGGTGTATTGGGGAGATGCGAGGGAGAAACTTTGTGATGCTGTGGAACATCTCAAGCTTGATACTCTTGTGGTTGGAAGTAGAGGTTTAGGAGTCCTTAAAAGGTAAAATTCATCTTTTAATTACGTTTCAAGTGATTTAAGTAAATTTTAAATTGATATTTGATTATTTCTAGTCTAGAAAATTGTCATTTGTCCCTTTTTCAGAATCCATCTTAACATTTTTTTTGTGTGATTTACAACTAATCACATGTTTATATACTAAGGAAAATGATATTATATAACCGCTCTTAAAATAATAGCCGAAAATGTATATTTTTTGTGTATATATACATTTTGTATGTGATATACAAAAATTCTACAAATTTAATATATTTTTTCAGCTACCAAATATAAATAGTTTCTGACATAGCCTAAACGAAACAAGCTTAATAGAGAGATGATATTTTTATCATGGAAAAAGTTAATTACTTTATCGTTAATTATTTTTTGTTTTCAACTTTTCATGAATAAAAAATTTACCATAAAAGAATGGGGCTAATTTACAATTTGACATATTTTCAGGGTGTTACTTCGAAGTGTGAGCAAGTACGTGGTGCAAAATGCATCTTGTCCCGTTACAGTTGTGAAGGGCAGTTCTCTCTCCTGTTTGTCCGGAATCTGTCGGAAATAATTTCTCTTAACTTTATATAAGAATAAAAATAAAATTTGTATACGCACTATTATTCTCAAACTCCACTTGAAATTATATTAAATATATTATTGTGATAGTACTTTACCACTGTTTGCTTTTTGTGTATTTTGTTGGGTTGTGAATCACATACTTAGATATTATGTGGTTTTTTGTTTGAGAGTGGTGAATGAGATGGTTGTGGGGCAATATCATATTTCAAGATTGTATAATTTTGATGCTTTCTATTTTCCTTTATTGTTGTCAAATCATTTGTCTTTATCAAAGGCTTAATTGGAATTGCAAAAGACATCCAAGTTGCTTGACTTTTAAGTTCTAATAGTTAAGTTAAAATTTTAATACTATATGATATTCATAATACAAATAAACTGTTTGAGTAAAATGTATTGGGTTCAACCTGAACTCGTATCTGGACTTTTCTACCTCTGCCAATGTATATAATTTTTGAATATAAAGGATCGATCACAAGTTTTTCTATATAGGGTAATAAAAGAAAATCATATTGAGTAAGCAAGAAGACCTCAAGCACTCGCAACCGCATCTACCGTTTTCACTTATCCGCCCTTTTCCGCATCTGCAGTCCAATACCCGCTTCTGCGGTCACGCAGGTGTGCTCCTTCTCCCGCACCTGTGGCTCCTGGCTTTCCTTGGCTTGGCCGCTTCTGCAGTTGCACGAATGATAGCATACAACGTGTGGACCAACATGAAGCTCAAAACACCCTGGCTCGGGTAGAGCAGGAAGTTAGTCTTCATGTTATTTTTGAAATGTTGCAAGAACGACAAATGGCTATAGGCCTCGGCCTCGCAAGCGACACAACGAAAAACCTCTACTTGCGGCATTGTATTGGCACATCACCCTTGGCATAGGTCTCGGCCTCGCAAGCGATACAACGAAAAACCTCTAGAACTTTTTTCTAAATCAAATGCATGATAAACAATGCTTCGCAAAAAAAGAAGAGCTTGCTGTTGCTTGACAAAAAAAAACATATTAAGAACACAAGAAAATTGGGATTAATAATACAATAATATAGTCCAAAATCAACCAGTTTTGCACTAGCAATAAATAGCTAGCTCCTCAAGTACTACTCAAAAGACCCAACAATTCAAATATAAAAACAAGCAATACCAATATTGCTAGTAGTCATAAATCATCATATTATAAACATATTTTGTTAAATTAAATTAACAAACTCCATTAGTCTTCTTCTTCTTATCAGCAACAAATTTCTTCCATGCAGCAGTAATCTCCAGCTGCACTTCTCTATCTGTTTTCTTATGCACGCCGCTGCCATTCGCCTCGGCCACGGCGAGCTTAGCGTTGACCCTCGCCGGAAGTGTGTCTAGCTCGTGGAGGACTTTTTCAATGTCTATCACCTGTTGAATCGGAAAAATAAATTTTAGAATTTTTCGAAAATTTGAAAAACTCCAACAGGCTGTTTTTAAAATTTTTTACTCGGATCACTCACAAAAAATTCAAAAACAACCGAAATTATATTAATATCTAAACACAACTCTAATTTTTAAAAATCATTTTCACTTCAAAAAAAGTTCACTTTTTTTTAATGGAATTTTACAATTCTTAAGTCCAAACGCCCACTAAAATTTAAAGTACGATTAAAAAAACACAAAGGGATTGAATGCAAATAGCCTTTGTATATTAATTATGCATATATTATTCATCTACTGATTATTTTTTATTTAAGTGGTCGACTGAGCTGCTATTAGGGTTAATTCTTCTAGTAAATATAACAAGTGACAAGTCTTTCAAATTTCTGTGCTAATGAAATAGTGGAGAGTTTTGGTTAGTAAAGCATGACATATTTCAAGTTTTTTTTTAAGTACATAATTTGGAAAGAAAAGAAGTGTTTTTTGGAGGAAAAGAAAAAAGATATTTTGATAATAGATGCCAAGACAAGAATATCTTTTTTTTTAAAACTTTTGCATGGGTTGAAATGTCCTTTCATTGTAAGACACAACTTTTCGTTTAAATGAAGAAGTAACGATTTATATAGTCTAATTTCAACTTATTTGGAACTGAGGCGTAACGATACTTACCAGTCGCTCCGCGAGTGTACGGGAGAAATCTTCTCTAATAACAACTCTGAGAACTGTGACATGTTGAGCATTTGGTGGCATAGTATATGCAGGAATAATCCATCCAAATCTTCTAAGAGTTTCAGAAATTTCGAACTCATTGTGTTGACTGTTGTCTTTAAGAGAGAAAGCTACTAATGGAACTCCAATTTCTTTGGAGATTATATTGAATCTTCCACTTTTTTCAAGTCCTTCTCTTAGTACCCTTGCATTTTCTTGACAATTCTCCATAACATTCTTGTAACCCTGTTTTAACATAGAAGTTTCAGATTGTGAAGAAAAAAAAATCTAATGTACTAAGCTCTCGATATGCGTGGGGTCGGGGAAAGGGCCGGACCACAAGAGCCTATTGTAGGCAGCCTTACCCTGTATTTCTACAAGAGTCTGTTTTTACGGATCGAACCCGTGACCTTCTGGTCACATTGTAGCAACATTACCAGTTACGCCGAGGCTTCACTTTCGGAAATTTCAGATTGTAAAGAGTATATTTAAAGTGTGTTGTTTGTGAAAAAGATATTATTTTTAGAGTTCAAGTTTCTTACATCAGGTCATTCAAAAGATATCCATAGGCTAGACACCATAAAATGCGAGATTTGTAATCTTTAAATTAAGACTGGTTACTTGATATAACACATAAAAGTAATATGATAGTGTAAAAATTAGTTAGAATGATGATGTATATAATTTAAACTCGTATTTTTATGCAATTGATAGTTGATTAAATTGTACTAATAGAACTTAGAAGTAATGATAGCAATTGCCTGCCCATAGCTCCATTGAAAATAACAAAATTAATCTTAACTTACCTCAAAACCCAAGCGAATAAGTTGGTAATATTGAGCAATTACTTGGCTAGAACCTGCATTACAATAGCAAAAATGATTAGATTTGTAAGGCTAGTGATATGACTCTAGTGGTACTTTTCAATGTTTAGCCTTAGAAATATATATATCTAGCTAATTAGAGCATCATATGTTTTATGATAGTAAAAGGCAGCTTGGTGCATAAAGCATCATGCATTCACATAGGGTTTGCGGAAGGACCATACCCCAAGGAATGTAATATAAACAACTGACCTTAATGCAAGCATTAGCGGCATCTTACATGGCCCAAACCCGTGACCTATAAGTCACATAGAGACAACTTTATCGTTGCTCTAAAGTTCCCCTTCAGAAAAAGAGAATGGCATCATCCGAACTCGATTTTGACGAGTTATGGATTTGATGACAAGTCCATAACTCATTAACCTCAAATCCTAGTTCGCCTTGGATTAAGCACATATTTAAGGACTTGTAATGAAGGAATTATACCTTTAGAGAAGTTGAGAGTGAAAGTAGGTTGATCAGCACCAAGATAATTAATGTGGAAAATAAGTTCATCAGGCAAGTCTTCCTTATTCCTCCAAATGGCCCAACCAATACCAGCATAGACAAGACCATATTTGTGACCACTCACATTAATACTCTTCACCAATGGTAATCTAAAATCCCATTCAAGCTCAGGATAAAGGAATGGTGCAATGAATCCACCACTTGCTGCATCCACATGAATTGGAGTGTCCCACCTGTTACAAATTATCAACTATATATTATGATATTTACATATATAAAAAAGCAGCTCGGTGCATAAAGTATTCCGTATTCACGCAGGGTTCGGGGAAGAATCGCACCACAAAGGGTGTGATGTAGACAACCTATCCTAATACAGACATTAGTGGTTGTTTTCATAGCTCGAACCCGTGATCTGTAGATCACACGGAGATAACTTTACTGTTGCTCCAAGACTCCCCTTCTATTGTGATATTCATACAAAGAGAAGGAAAAAAAAAAAGATATTTGAACAAACACGTATTCACCATTGACCAGAAAGGTCGGAATTATTGGATATTATTCGGTCGACACTATAACTTAACAACCAAAAAGCTCTACGAAATCGTGACTTACCCGGTTTCTTTGTTCTTCTCAATCAAGAGGTCATTCAAGCGCTTAACATCTTCAAATTCACCATTGAGAGTGGAACCCAAGATAGCAGCTACACAAATTGTATTCTCATCCACCATTTCCACAGCTTTCTCAGGGTCCATCACATAGTATCCATCACTCAATTTTACTTCTTTCAACTCCACTTCAAAATACCTTGCAAATTTCTCCCAACACACCTGTTAAAATTACAAAATTAGCACTCTCAATTCCTAAATTTTGGAAACAAATCCATGTGTTTTATAGAGTTTAACTTCTCTACACGATAGTGCAAAAAAATTTAAACGTTTGGCCAAACTGCAAAAATCAGCTTATTTTGAGAAGTGTTTTTTTCAAAAGTGCTTTTCTCAAACGTAATTTTGGTGAGAAGCAGTTTGTGTTTGGCTAATTAGTTTGAAAAGCACTTTTGAGCAGCAATTAGTGTTTGACCCAGCTTTAAAAAACTGCTTCTAAATGTATTTTTCTCCAAAGTGCTTCTCAAAAAAGTGCTTTTGGAGAGAAGATACTTTTTTCTGCTTCTCCAAAACTGCTTATGCTTCTCCTCAAAAACACTTTTTTCCTTCTAAAAGCTTGGCCAAACACCTCAATTTTTGGCTAAAAGTGCTTTTGGCAAAAAAAAAAAAAAAAAAAAAAAAAAAAAAAAAAAAAAAAAAAACTTTTGGCCAAAAAGAAACTTGGCCAAACAGGCTATAAAAGATAAATACAGGTGACAGTCCATAAAAAATTGAATTAGTAGCCTAGAAAGTAAGATATATTATCTATCACAACATATTAAATACACTTATGGTAACAAAAATGATTTATATTTAATAAAATTAGAGGAGTTTTAATCTAAATAGCCATCCACCTAGCCGTTTAAACTGATTGCATCGGATGTAAAAATTTGTATAATTAATGTATAATCTATGTATATCAGCTAAGAAAAGTAAAGAAGAATTAGCCCAAATAGCCGACCACCCTACCATTTAAATTAACAATAACCGCTGAATAGATAATACATGCATAATTTATGTATTATTATGTTGAGTTTTTGTTTAAGATGAAATAGTTTTAAAATTAGAGTGAATGAGAAATGGAATTTGGATTTGGATTTTGTCAAATGATCGATCGATTGATAATTTTTTGGACCAAATTTATTTGTTAATAGTGAATATTAACGTGATATAATCCGTGTTTGT